ACTTTACTTTACTTAACTTTACTTCACTTTACTTTACTTGACTTGACTTTACTTCACTTAACTTTACTTCTCTTTACTTTACTTCATTTTACTTTACTTGACTTTACTTGACTTGACTTGACTTGACTTTATTATTTATTTATTTATTTTTTTTTTAAAGATATGTTTGTGATAAACATCATCATGTGTATAATACGAGTGCATGTTTGAAGATATTAAAAATTTGAAAGATAACAAGAAAAGGAAGGGGATAAATAAAAAAAATAAAAAATGATCACAGATTGCATGCTTGTGTGTTTAGTTTCTATAAGAAATCCGTAACTTTGGGAAACTCCTGAATAATTCGATCGTCGTCCTACCAAGGTATACAACCTTATTAAATATATCCCTAATTTTATTTCTCTTTTTTTTTTTTAATTCTTATTTCTTCGGGTTCTTTTCTCGTAATGTTTTTTTTTTTTTAATATTGATTATCGTCTCTTAAGCTGCATAATTGAATATTACACGTATTGTTTTACGTATTTATATACATGTATGTATGTATACATACTTGTCTCGTTTTTTTTGAGTCATAGGAAACAAATATTTTTTTTTTTTATAATAATAATTCGTTATAGTTTATATCTTTTTTTTTCCTCTTCTTGTCCCTCCCTCTTTCCAACCTACCCTCTAATAAACTCCCTCCTCCCTCTTTTTTTTGTTCACGTTAACGTTCTTCGACAAATAATTTACACACACGCACACATACACACACATACGTAATTATATTTTTCCATATTTTTGTCTTTTGTTTTTCTTCCTTTCCTTTTTCTCTTATTTTTTTTATTTTCATTTTTTTTTATTTATCCATAATGATAACAACAACGGTTTTAGCGATAAATAATTCAACTTTGGTTTTACACCGTGTCCCATTCTCGAGGCATCTCATTATCATCTTTCTTCGTTATATATATTTTTTATTTGTTTTCATTTTCTTTTTCTTTTTCTTCTTCTTCTCTGTTTTTCTCTTTATTTCTTTCTGTATTTTTGTTTTCAACATTTCCAATACTGCTTATATAAGTTTTATATGATAGGAGGATGCTGATAATGATCAGTCCTAAGCGGGGTTGCATTTTCGTTGGTCGACATTTTGTATGTGTGTAAGGACCTTTTTTTTTTTTTTTAAAAAATGTATATAATTAATTTAAACAAATATTAATATTTGTGTTTCTCGTCTCTCGTGTCATCTCTCTCGTGTTTGTAATTTTTTCTTTGTAAATTAAAAATTAAAAAAATACTATTTCTTTTTTCTTGCGATCTAAACGAAACATACAAATTTCTTTTTGAAATGAAATAACATATATATATGTAAAGAAAAATAACGCAACGCAATATCAATTACAATTGAATTAATAATTTCAACAAAATTATTCAACTCCATAAATTTTAGGTACAGTGATTGATTGCAGTGGTTAGTTCGTAATTTTTCTTTTTTTTTTTTTTTTTAAATTCAACGAACCTCTTATTGCATTAAACGTCCTACGAAAATGGACGTAGAGGGGGGTGAATAATTTTTTATATTTTTTTTGTTTCTTTCACGGATTTCATGCACGCCGATGTACTCAGGTAAATTTATCGTCTAATTTAAGTACAGTGAGGAGCTTACGTGTATGTGAGAAAGTGTGTGTTAATGTGTATATATATATATAATAATAATAATAATATAATAATATATAATATAATATATAATATAATATATAATATAATAATAATAATCGTAACGCACATATACACGTCACGTATCTCGGATTTAACAAATAAATACAAGTATACATACAACGCACACGTTTAATCGTTGCCATTTTGTTTTCAATGTTTCTTTTTCATCTTCTTCATCTTCATCTTCTTCTTCTTCTTCTTCTTTTATATTACGACCACGTGCTATAAAAACTTAATCTCTAAGAAAAGAAAGAAAGAAAAAAAAAAAAAGAAAAAAAAATCAATTATTCTTAAAAAAGAAAACAATTAAAATGAAACATTTGTACTTTAGCAGTATAGAGCAGTCATTTTGTCGTACATATTAAATTCTTAATATCGTTTTATCGTCGTTATTATTTTTCTTTTTTCTTTTATATTATTATTTTTTACACATATGTAATATGTAATAATTATTTATTTATATATATATATATATATATATTCATATATATATATATTTATTTACTTTTTTTTTCTTTTGTTTTATTTTGTTTTGTTTTAAGAAACAATTCCCGTCTCGCTTGGCACGCCATCTAACATCATGATCGTCATCATGATTTATTTTTTTTATATATATATATATATATAGATATATATATGTAATATGTATAATTATCATCTAACTGAGACATTTCATTCATATTAAAAAAAAAAAATGAATATTATAGTAGATATATATAGGTAGGTGTGTGCTATGTGACGAAACGCGACGTACGCTTTAAGAAAGCATTCGTTTTATCTATATATAATAACTTTACACATATAGATATAATATTTCAATGAAATTAATGTAATAACAATCATCATAGTTCTCTTTCTCGACTATATGGAAGGTAGGAGTAGTGGTGGTGGTGGTGGTAGTGGTGGTGGTGGTGGTAGTGGTGGTGGTGGTATGGTTTATGCATTAGTAGTTGCGCTGTTCTTTTTTTATCTTCTTTCCTACTTCTTTTTATCTCGTACTTATTTTCAGATAATATTATCTTTCTCTTATTAACACGTTCCGTTGCCAATGTTCCTTTTTATCTGACCTTGTCATTCAGGCCATTTAACTCGTTAAATGTCACGTCAGTCATATGTGTCTGACAATGAACTTCACATTCAGACCATGTCAGTCATAAGTGACTGAAAATGAACTTCACATTCAGATCACGTCAGTCATATATGGCTGACAATGAACTTCATGTTCAGGGCACGTCAGTCATATATGGCTGACAATGAACTTCATGTTCAGGGCACGTCAGTCATATATGGCTGACAATGAACTTTATGTTCAGGGCACGTCAGTCATTTGTGACTGGCAATGAACTTCATGTTCAGTGCACGTCAGTCATTTGTGTCTGGCAATGAACTTCATGTTCAGGTCACATCAGACGTATGTGACTGACAATGAACTTCATGTTCAGGGCACGTCAGGCATATGTGACTGACAATGAACTTCATCTTCAAGCGTGTCAGGCACAAGTGTCTGAAATTCAACTACTTACAACTTTTCGTTTTGTCATACGTGGCTTAACAAAGATTTCCGTAAGAATTTACATGGCGTTCAACGTGCTTTAATTTTGCTTGAACAAAATCAATCATTACATGTTATTACTAATTATTATAAATATAACAATTATACAAACTTATGTGCTTTGTTCTATATTGCATTGTATATAATGCATTCAATATTTTAATAAGAATATTTTTTGTAGAGAATTTAATTTGTTAATAAACATATATATTTTAAATAAATATGTCTAATATGGTAAGTGTATACCATCAAGTGGTACATGGGGCCTGAAGAACAAGTTCAACGTGTACCACCGGTGATACACGTGGCACGGAACGTGTTAATAAATTATTATTATGCGTAATGAGAATAACAATAATAATGATAATGCAATTATTACTATTATATTATGGCTATAGTACAAATGACGAGAATGATGATGATTATGATGACGATGACGATGACAATGATCGACGGTTTATGTACTAATAATATAATTATCATAAAACATTCTAATAATAATAATAATAATGTTAATAATAGTAGCAATATTACTAACATAATATCAATAATAGTAATAATAATAATATAATGAAATAATAATAATCAATAATAGTATTATATTAATATTGATTATAATTCTCATTTTTTTTTAAAAGTATTTACAAATGTTATAGCACCATGACCGAAATCTTGTAAGGCTTATTTAAAATTGATAGAAAGAAAGAAAGAAAGAAAGAAAGAATAAAAGAAAATTATATTAATATTCAATAATTTTTTTCAAAGGGAGGGGGATGATTTTTTCTTTTACAAGTTCATAGAAACAACCCCATCACTGTTTGCACCTGCAGCCTCAACTTCCTCCCTTTTTTAAATACACACGAAGATAGAAAAAGAAAAAAAAATAATTCAACGACGAATTATTCATTTAATTTATTATCACTAACAATAAGAAAGAAAGAGAGAAAGAGAGAGAGAGAGAGTGAGAGATATTTTGTTAAGATATTTATGCTCGCGAATATGTGAATAAAAAAGATTTTTTTATAACAAGCGATCGATTGGCGGACGACCACCATTTGATGGCATATATATATATATATATATATATATATATATTTATGATAATAATTCTTATCAACGTTAAGTATATTTGGCCGTATTTTTAATAATCGCGTTATTATTTCATTAACATAATCAATGATAGATTATCGAATGAAACAAATGGGCCACAGGGACTAGAAATTTTGGAATGAAAAATGATCAACGATTAAAATCAATTCTCCGATTCTTATATGGAAAGAAAATTTCAATATCTTTTCTTTTTTTTTTTTTTTTACAATAACAACAATAATAATAATAATTATAATAATATTAAAAGTATATAATATCGTATAGAACATTCTTATCAAACAAATTTCTAATTGATAAATTGTCATTTTAACTTTTTGTTTGTTAACATACAAAAAGATACCAAAAATTAAAATCAAACGAATTAATTTCTCCATGTTTTTTTTTTTTTTTTTTTTAACACGTTGAATGCCACGTCAGTCATATGTGTCTGAAAATGAACTTCACATTCAGACTCACGTCAGTCATATATGACTGACAATGAATTTCACATTCAGACCCACGTCAGTCATATGTGACTGACAATGAACTTCATGTTCAGACCCACGTCAGTCATATGTGACTGAAAGTGAACTTCACATTCAGACCATGTCAGTCATAAGTGACTGGCAATGAACTTCACATTCAGACTCACGTCAGTCATAAGTGACTGACAATGAACTTCATGTTCAAGTATGTCAGACACAAGTGATTTGACACCTGACAAAGATTTCCGTAAGAATTTGTGTAACGTTCAACGTGTTAAAATTATTTCGCGCATTATTTTCTTCAGATAATTATTATAATAACGATATAATTATCTGAGTAGATGATTTTTCTTTTTTTTTTGTTTGTTTGTTTGTTTGTTTGTTATCTCTGGTAGATTCTAATTCGGTTAATAAAAGAATTTTCTTGACAATATTTTTTTCATTTTATCTTCTCTTAACTACGACGACGGCGATTAGAATTAGGAAATAGGTGAAATAGTGAAAGAGAGATAGATATAGAAAGATAGAAAGATAGAGGAAAGGAAAGAGAGAGAGAGAGAGAGAGAGAGAGACAGAATTATTTAACGATCGACTTATAATAGTTGCCGAAATATTCTACCATGATAGATCTACGATCGTTCGACGTAACGCATATATAATTATTCTATTTTTTTTCTTTTTCGCATATATATATACATACATATATATATCTATATCTATATATATATATATATATGTATATAGATTTATAATCTTCATATATAAAGAAGACCGCGGAAAGTAATGTTGGTTTCTAATCTTAAATTCAAACGAATAAATTTATTTCTAATAATTTTGTTATTTTTAATCAATAATGTTAATCATCACTCTTCATGATCAACAAACTTTTTTCAACTATTATGCACAATCTTTAATAGCAAATTGATCCAAGTCAATCAGGTTTTTGATTAAAAAAAATATTTAAAAAAAAATGGACATTTGTAGAAACTACATTACTTTCCGGTCCCCATATAATATATACATATATATATATATTTTTTTAAATATTTATATATATATGTATATGTATAGATTCATTCTTATATTAAACTATGATATCCCTCTTTGTTCTCAATATATTAATTAGGTATGATATGTTTATTCACAACTTGATGTGAGCGTTTAGAGTTGGAATTTTCTTTTTCTTTACTTTTTTAATAATCGTGAAGATTAAATTCTTCTTCTTCTATTCCTCTTACTCTTTTTTTTTCTTCTTGTTGTTATTGTTGTTGTTGTTGTTAGCAATATAGCAATATGCATTGATAATATTTTTTTTATTAAATTTAAGTACGACGCGTTAGATAAAACATTAATTTTTTTTTCTCTATCGATAAATCTTGCTCTTTCCATCTCTCGACTGATGGATATATATATACATACATACATATATGTATATATATATATTTATTTATTAATAATAATTACATACTGATACGCATTATATTCTAGTCATTGTCAGAGAGTTATTTTATTAGTGTTTCAAAGTTCGAAGAGTTGAATGCACTCACTCACTTCAGGGTTTCATTTATTCATTTATTTATTTATTTATTTTTTTTATCTATATATTTGTGTGTGTATATATATATGTATTATTTTATTTTTATAAAACCAATATCTCTGTAGGTGGATGGATAATTTCCGGCTCGGCGGTTATCTTGTCATAGATAAATGTAACTATTGTTTCATAGGTATGTTTTTTGTTTGTTTGTTTGTTTTTTTTTTTCATTTTACTTTACTTTATTTGTATTTGTTTTCATTTTTTTTAATGTGACTTTTTTTTCTTTTTTTTTTTACCAGATCTAACAATTATAATAATGTTTAATGAAAAGAGGATAATAAGAATGATTTGTTGTAAGCGTTCAATGATTTTGACGGAATCACCCTGAAGTAAGTTAGCATATATATCTATATGTATATTTTTATATATACATATATATATATTTTTTATATATATATATACTATTATTATATAACTATTCTACTTGTCAAGTAATAAAAATAGAGATTGCATAGATTGAGATTCGTAGCAGATTACCTCGAATGTTACGTTCTAAATAGAATATCCTTTCGAGTCTTATAACATGAGATTTATTTATTTATTTATTTATTTATTTATTTATTTATTCATTTATTTGCGTCTTATATGAATTACATTATTTTTAGGATAATTCATAACTTCGCGATAAGATAACGCGACTTTTTCTTTTTATCTTTTTTTTATCTTTTCTTTTCTTTCCTTTTCTTTATTTATTTATTTTTTTTGTTTAACTGGAGTATTTCGTATAACTTTATTTTTATTTCCATATAAGTGCAAACCGTTTTTTTTTTTTTTTATATATATATATATTGCCGTCTAATTAAGTCTTACGCAGTGTGTCTCCACACACAGACACACACGCACACACACTTTGTTTAAATCTTTAATTAAAAGACATTAAAAAAAAAAATGATTTTCACAATCAAGAAAAAAACGTAGAAAGAAGAGAATTTTTCACTTTTAGTTAGACGAGTCTTACTTTGTTTTCTTTTTTTTTTGTCTTTTTTTTTTTTTTATTTCTTTGTTTTTTCTCATTTTTTTTTCTTGTCCATTCTTTTTTCTTTTTATTTATACGATTAGATCTTTTTTTTTCTTTTTTCTTCCGATATGTCTTAAGGAATTTGGTGTTTTTCACGTTCGCCGGTTTTTGTTGTTTGTTTGTTTTTTTTTTATTAGTTGAATAATTTTCTAAATATAATTTATTCAATATCGCGAATAATTCATTTACACCTCCTTTACCAACCTCTTTTTATACCTTCCCTTTTCTTAATTAAATTTATTTCAAAACTTTCAAAGTCCTCTTATATATATATGTATATATAATACGTTAAAATTCTTAAAACTTCGAGAAGAACACCCAATCGGACTCCGAAAGTTAACCCTTAAGGTTTAATAAACCTCCACCCAAACTTGATTGCATTATCTTCTTTTAATTTTCCCCCATTTGTCTTTTTTACATTCCCATTTCTATTATTTTTTTTTTTTTGCTTTTCTCGCATGTTGGATGCAAAAAAAGAAAAAAAAAAAACTAACCTTACAAACACTCGCTTGACTCACTTATTGCGCGACGCCATGACACATACACGAAGGATAATAACTTTTAACGCGAAATATTATACCGACATATTTGAGTATTTAATTGCCCATCATCCCTTTAAGGGACCAGAAATATCGAGTCATGTATCAAGTTCAAAGGTACAACTTCCTTCTTCCTTTTTTTTTTTTTTCTTTCTTTTTTATTTATACTTTGAATTCGAACGACTTCATCTCGTTTTTTTCCATCTTAGATCATATGTTTGTTTATTCTTTCATATCATCAGCAGTAATAGTAATAGTAAACACGAAAGCAGTACGCGGATTTTGAGCATATAACTTTTTAGTATATGTATTGCTTGTACTTCCACTTAGGTTAGAAAAACGCCCTTTCTTTTTCCCGCCATTGAAACGACTCGTAAAATCACGAATAAAATGCGATTTTTATATATATATATATATATGTAATATGTTATATACCATCGCGATAAAGCGAGGTTAATATTTTTCGTTCTGATATATGGCCCACACCATAGAATGGTTTTGCTTTTATTGCTAATCCGTACCCTCCATAACAAAGAATAGACCAGGAGTTATCCCCTCCTCTTTTCAAAGATGGTCTGTCTGGTCCATCATCATCATCTTCTCTATTGAGACGGGGTAAAATCGATGAGCCCTTCTTCTTCTTCTTCATCTTCTTCGTTTTCTTCTTTTTCTTCTTCTTCTTCTATCGCATCTCATCTTAGCAACGATACGTCACTGTCGTTTCTCAACCAGCGAAATCGAGAACGGTTTCCTGAATTTCTCTATTTGTGCGATCAGCTCTGGAAAGCTTAGATTTATCCCGACAGGAACCCACATCATATAATAATGTCTGTGCCTTTTCGATACGAGTTCTGAAACATATATTCCAGATTTTTTTTTTCTAACATCTGTATTTTTTTTTTTAATATATTGGGTTGTCACAAGAAAGTAATTTTCGCTTGCACCAATAGACAAGGTTATGTTTGTTTCGTTATTCTTTTGAAGTTTGAATTCCATGTAATTTTGTTTGCAACTTTTAGTTTATGGTCAATTGAGTTTTATTTCACACTAGAAAATCGAAATTACTTTCTTGCCAACCTAATATAATCTCTAAACGCGTTATGTGTTGGCTGTAGGAATTAGGATTTAATATTTGACCATTATTTATAATTTAAGACGTTCACGCTGGCGCCGATTTTCAGTGTCTGCGCTCGAATCTATGATGCGCTTCATCTGGCGGCGTGTGATTTTTGCTTGTTCAAACCTGGACCAAGGTGGACCATCAGTGGTACACAACGCCCGATGAAAAAATCTAGCGCCAGCCACCGGTGGTACGAGCCGGCGTGAATGTGTTAATTATAAATTTATTGATAAAAATTGATTTCCTTTTCCATTCCTACCAATAAAAACAAAGTCAAAATGTTGACTGACTATTAAAGTATTAATAACAATACCTCTCTTCATTGCAGGTCTTCCTCGCATTTAGGAATGTCGAAGATCTCGGCGAAAAGAGGTGGCAGCTTTAGTTTAGTCCAATTTCTCCTAAACCAATCTAAAAGATTTGCATGCCTAGCACCAAGCGCCCTTAATTCCGGTATCCTTTGAGAAACTCCAGATATGCTGGCACAGCCAGATGCTGAGGTTGCTTCGGCACCACCAGTGCCATTGTGATTTCTTGAAGTTTGAACTCTTAGGGCTTCTAAAAGACGATCCTGAAGCCTCTGGACCGCTTTAACGTCGTTAAGACCAGCCCTTTCACCGAGAAGCACTGCACCCGAGAACAAACCTAACTCGGCGTCTGCCAGTTGATAAGCGTTTAAAGATGACGTGAATTGCATCAAGGCCGCCACGAAGTCGGGCTACGATTTGTTTGTTTGTTTTTTTTTTTCAAATCGAAAATCAAAAGATTAGTAAATGTCATTTGAATTTGTCAAATTTTAACCCTTCAAACTGGAAACTCGTTATGAAATATTAGTTTCCCGTTTAAAGGATTAAGATTGATGAGATAACGAAACAAAATAACCAATAATAATTAATATTACAGGTTTAACGAAATATAAAGAAGAACATACCTCATACATGAGTTCCATTTGTTGCCTGGTGATGTATGTACCATCCTCGAAAGTCATCGAACTATCTGTAGTCATTTTCGAAATATGACTTAGCCAGACCTCGAAGAAGCCAACCTTGATTAGAATGAGTTGATCGTCCTGCGAGAGTTCGCAGAATCCTGGAACCCTCTTCGCAAATTCTACCACCCTCTGTACCGACGGTGTAACCCTAGTCGCAAACTGTTGCCACAACCAGATTCTCTGTGATTCAACGGTTTCTGCTGTTGAGGAGGCTGCCTCTGGGTCTTCCGGGCTGGCCGGCTGCGAAGAATCACTCGCCTAATCAGCAGGATTACAAAAAGAAACAAGGGCATTGCTGCCGAATTCTAATAAAAGGATGTCTACTAACACTTTTTATATTATCATTCAGTTAAGTATTATTGTAGGATAATAGAAAAAAAAAAGATCTAATTTCGTTCATTTCTATTTTAGTCTAGAAAATATTTCATATAGATTGTAATTATTAAAAATTGTTAAAGGCCACTAAGAAAATGAGGTTATGTTCGGAGTCCTCAAATACTTGGATCCGCCACTGATTATTCTTTGATGTATTCCACACGAGAAAATCGATATAGGTCGGAGTTATTAAACGTTGAATGAATAATAAGTATCTCGTTAACGGGCGTGATAACAGTGATATCTTATTTATTAGATTATTTTGAATTAAAGGTCAAAATCCAATGATGGGGGGGGGTGTCTCTTTAGGGATATATTAAGTTATTATTCTCACCGGTATTATCATTGGCTTTCGTATAAGACCCCTCGTGGACTCCTCGGTAAAACCACAATGCGCGTGATGTGCTTGCGACACTTGAAGGATAACATCGTAAACTGCCAACTGTTTAACATCCGTGTCGGATTGATCAGCTTCGGCAACCGCTGACGGTGGTATTCTTGGCATTGCATTCCCACCTTGTCCATTATTGTTATTATTATTATTATTATTGTTATTATTTTGACTGCTTGTATTGTTATTGTTGTTGTTGCTGCTGCTGTTGTTGTTATTATTGTTATTGTTGTTGTTATTATTATTGTTATTATTATTATTATTGTTATTGCCAGTTCCAGCGGAAGACGTGAGCTGTTGCACGCCGGTTGTAGTCGTCGATGTGGTTGTCGTCGTGGTCGTTGGTATGGAATCTTCTGGACCACGTTCTCGCGAACGTTTCGGCACTCTGCCGTATCTGACAGCTGTATAAAATTTAATATTTATTAATAATTATTTAGTTTATTACCTGTTTCTATTAGTGAATCTCATACTATCTTATTACATTGAATATTTACTACAGAATTTTCTAGTATAACATACTTTTATTTTATAATTAATTTAGTTAGATCTTTATTTATTAACGCCAACGCAGCAAAAATTTCGCTAATGCGCCAATAAAGAGCAATCTTGTTGTTCGCACACAACAACCTTGTTGTTTGCACACAGCAACTGTTAGAGTTTCGTCAGGGTTGCGTCAGGGTTTCGTCGGGGTTATTGCGACAGCATCAGGTGTAAGAAAATAAAGACTGTTTTGAATCTATGTTTTGTTATTCTATGATTTGTTGCAACAATTTAAGGTGTAGATTGTGCGCATTAGCGGAATTTTGCTGAGTCGGCATTACTACGGAAGTACCATAAATTTAACCTATAAAATTATTATTGATATTATTTCAAAGTATTTGAAAAATTATTCATTACCATATATTTTCTAATCCGAGATTACTTTGTAATCTTATTTGATTTTTTTACAATTATATTTGTATTCAGATAAAACACGAAATTTCGATTACATAGAAAGAGAGAGATAGAGAGAGATAGAGAGATAACGAATAACTATTGTAGAATGATATGTGTATATGATATATGATACATTTGATTACTTTGTGGATGGCCGCTAATGGATGGTAATTTTCAAATAAATTGTATAGAATATAAAGGATACGCGATAATCGATAATAAAAGCTTTCTACATAGCGATGTATGTGTCAATATACATGTATATATATATATATTTAGTTGAATTCTATATACACATACATATATATAAGTTTATTACACTATGTTCAGGAAAAAGGAACGAGAGAAGTTTCGACTTAAGCGTCATATGCACATGTACGTTGGATGCTTGATGGAACTTTGACGTTTAATTATGCACGCAACTTCTTTCTCTTTTCCTCTCTAACATCAAGCAACCAACCCCTTTTCAACCCCGCGGCCTTTACTTTACCACTTGTCGCTCTCGGCGCCAACGGAAGCTCGTAGAGCAGCAAAGTTGATGTCACAACGTTGAGATTAGTTTCCTGTACCTGATTTTCCAGTTTTCTAATCAAAACGATCTTTACATATCTAATAGTGAAATCGTTAACGATTGACGTTAGATTTGTTGTTGAAATATTTTCAATTGACACTTCCGTTAGTTTTTCCTATGTTTTATATTCAAAATTTAACCCTTTTGCACTTTGTCGTCATTGACATTTAAGATGTTCATTAATGTTTCCGCATGATTTGTGATTTTTATCGATTTATAATTAGAAATATTTGTAAGATATGAAAATGTTGATGAAATAATTACTTGTTGAAACAAAAACAACAAATTAATTCATAAGCTTATAGAATTAATTTCAATCTCAATCGTGTTATCTGGTTTGTTAGATTATAATTTAAAAGAAAGAAAAAAGAAAAAAAAAACAAACTTGATGATAATAATTATACTGATGTATCTCAAAGGTATAATTATCTATGTGAAAGTAGTTTTGATTATTTTGATCTTATCCTGATACTTACAATCCCTGGACATGCCGACAGCTAGGCACTTCTTGAATCTGCAGTACTGGCAACGATTTCGATTTAATCTGATCACAAGACACTTGCCGTCCCTCAGGCACCTGTATTCTATCTGCTTTTGTATGCTTCTTCTGAAGAAACCCTGTAAATGAATGAATGAATGAATGAAAAAAACAAAAACAAAAACAAAAACACAAAAATTTAAATACATCTTTTGATAAACTCAGATATTATTATAGAGAAAATTATCATAGATCGAGAAACAGGATAGGATAAAAATAATACAAAATTTTCTAATAGATTCATCGAGTTCTTTTTATCTTTTATCTAAACAACTTCAGGAATCGCATTTCATAGATTTTTGATAGAGAAAGTTACAAATTGAGATTACATTTATATCTTATTTTTATTTTCAAATTATTTTTTGTTAATTTTTATAAACTTTATGTGTGACGTTGTAATACAGATAAGTTGTGTAGAATTATTTAAACAAAATTGTTTTTTGTTTTGTTTGATAATTCGATTGGAAGATCATCTATAATTAAAGGGAGTTACAAATTGAGATTAAATTTAAATTAATATTTTATTTCAAATTATTTTTTGTTAATTTTTATAAACTTTATTTGTGACATTGTAATACAGATAAAGTATGTGGAATTATTTAAACAAAATTGTATTTTGTTTTGTTTGGTAATTCGATTGGAAGATCATCTATAATTAAAAAGAGTTACAAATTGAGATTAAATTTAAATTAATATTTTATTTCAAATTATTTTTTGTTAATTTTTATAAACTTTATGTGTGACATTGTAATACAGATAAGTTGTGTAGTATTATTTAAATAAAATTGTTTTTTGTTTTGTTTGATAATTCAATCGGAAGAAGAAGATTATCTATCTGTGATAGAATTCGTTTGAATTTTGGGTTCAGTTTGATATTAAAGGTAAATAGTTCTCTCTAGTAATCTTGAGTTTGACTGATCGAATCGGAAATGAAAAGAACATCATCTAGACATCTTCGTGACTAGCTAACGGAATGAAAATTAATTACAAGACATTCGTTTCCTTCAATCATTAATTAAAAAAAAAAAAAAAAAAACACACACACACACAAAACAAAATGAATATATAAATGAATAATACGAACAAAACTATGTTGACATTTGCAAAGATAAATTATAATAGAATTTTTAATATTAAAACAAAAGATGATAGATGTCAATGAAATAATAAAGAATCTTGAAAACACGTGTCCAGTTTTCTTTAAAATCATCAAACATTGAGATATTCTTGTCTATTATAACATTGATATCAATTAATTAAGAATAAACGTTGATAATAGTTTGAGAACTGCATTGCTGATGCCGTATTTCCAGGTTCCAATATCCTGCATAGCGCATGGAATTACGTGAAACAACTACCTGTAATATACTTCTATCTATCTCTCTCTGTCTCTCTCTTTCTCTCTTTCTCTCTTTCTCTTTCTCTTTCATTCTATTCGTTGAGGAAAAATCAATACTTATGTCACACGCCGGATATAAACGGTGGTGCGCGTCCTATTACAAAAGCTAAAGAACATTTAATAATAATAGGTTTAGAATTATTTCATATTCAATGAAAAATGAATTATTGTACCTTTGATTGTCTACCCTACCTTTCATTAACCCTTAGAGTGCTATCAACGTATATACGTGTTTGTTAATATTAATGTGAAATAATATAATGTATGTGTTTATATTAATATATATATAAATATTATAATATTATTATATAATAAAAATATTATATATTATATATTATATTTTTTTTATATATTTTTATTTTTTTTTATATCTTTTTATAATATATAATAAATATAATATATATATATATAATATAATTATATAAAATTAATTAATATAATTAATTAATTGTATTAATTTTTATATAATAAATTATTCCGTTCTTATGAAACATTACAGTTAAAAATATTCACCACTCAAAGGATTGATCGTTCGAAATTATTCAAAAATTTTTATTTCGAAGTATCACGAATAGAAAAAGAAAAAAAAAACAAGATTAGAATGATGAGGAAGTAATAATTATTAAAAAAAAAAAATTAAAGACACGTTAGAATTTTATATTTGAAAAATGTGACAAACGTGACACACTTGTAAAAAAAACGTATATATAGATAAACAATATTGATAAATATTGAAACACGCGAGATGTGAAAATTATCTGAACTAATAAGAAATATCTCGTACGCGTTTTATCGTTTAATTTTTTTTCTTCTTTTTTTTAATAACAAATTCGTTACAGTGCACTTTTCATTTATTGAAAAATGTAGGTATGTGTTTATTGGTTTGGTGATACGAAATGTATATAAAATTGATCGAAAGTTTGACACAAAAAGTTTGTGTTAACTTCGTACGTGTGTGATGACTTGTGTGTTATAACTCGTAAATAGGTATTTAAGTGAAAGGCACATTTCTAATTATTATAATTATTTTATTATATATATATTTTTTTCATTTCAATAGAAGAAATAAAAAAATACGAAAGAAGGGAAAGAGAAAAGAAAATAAAAGAAATGAAATGAAAAAGAAATATAAAAAAAAAAAACTGGACGTGACAAGTTGCATAATAAGCGTATAATTTCTTCCGCTTAACTATAAGTGGACACACACACACACACACACACACACATATATATATATATATATATACGTGAATCGGTTGTCACTATGTCTATGTTTATCGAGTAATAATGTTACGCGAGTTGTAGCAAGTAGTAAAAGCATTGGAATGGTCAGACAACTCAAAGTAAATCCTATAATTAAAAACTTTCCCCCTTACCTCGAGTTAAAAATAGAAAGTTTCTTTATCAATAAAAGCTTCTTCTTTTATTTCTTTTCTTTTTTCTTTTTTTTTTTTCATATCGAATCAATCATTCATATCTATCTTTTTCTTTTTGTTTTTAAGAATAGATTTTTATTTTATCGAATCACAATTATCGGATATCGAAATATTTCATTTATATTTGATCAAAGTTGAAGTTTAATCGAATAAACTTTTTAAGTAGACTTTAATCTTTATTATAAATTCAATCGTTAATATTTTATTAAAATCTTGAAATTAAAAATGAAATAATTTGTATGAATATATATTTTTTTTTTTTTTTTTGTTAAAAGTGACTATTTTAGAATACAGTATGAATTTTTGACGTATATAATACTTAATAACTTTCCAGTAACTTTAATTATAGTTATTAATTATATATTATCATGTTTATAAATTCAATCGTTATTAATACTTTAAAATTTCCAAATTAAAAAACAAATATATTTAGAAATATTTTTTGAGATACTATTTTAGAATACAGAATGAATTTTTGACGTATATAATACTTAATAACTTTCCAATAACTTGAATTATAATTATTAATCATATTATTACGTTTATAAATTCAATCGTTAATACTTTAAAATCTCAAAATTAAAAAACAAATATATTTATAAATATTTTTTGTTAAGAGAGTGGCTATTTTAAAATACAAAATTAAATTTAATAACTTTTCGATTACTTTAATTATAGTTATTAATCATATTATCGCGTTTATAAACAATCGTTAATACTTTGCAATCTAGAAACTAAAAAAATAAATTTATAAATATTTTTTGACTGACTATTTTAGAATACAGAATTAATTACCAACGTATTGGGATCTCTGACATGGACGTGACGTAATAAAATTCGACCTATTTACTCTAATTTTGAATTTAGCCACCAGATAGCATATTCAATTGCTAGAGATCTCAATATAATACTTAAGGGGACCTTCTACTCTGCAATTTAAAAAAATTTTTTTTTTTACATTTTTCGAATGTATATATATGTAGAAATATTGTATTAAAATTTCAAAAAGATCCGATGTCTCTAACTACATTTTTGGTGCCTGAACGTAACTACCTCGGACCGCTTTCCT